TCAGCCCTGTGTAAATCCTGCCTTGGTTTGGGCTATGGCAAAACATGAGAGACATAGGGGAAGGTGGCCTCATAGGACCATGTGACAACAGGGAAATCACTGCTAACCATAGCCTCACTGTGGGAAGGCCTTTGGCTGCTTCTAACACATCTCCCAGGTCAGAATATTTATACCTTTGGAGAGAGTTCCAACTATCAGATTTTTGAAAATCGAATGCAAGACTTGCATTTCTGGTAAGCAGTAGCGCTTGGAGTAGCGCTGTGAGATCCCTGATCGGGTTCTGATCTCCCTCCAGAACGGCCACCCCTTCCATCCCTGCCCTTCTGTATTCCAGGGTATCTTGGGTGGGCTTCAGTACCTGCATTTCCACCCAGGTGACTAGCTTAGCTCCAACCGGCCCTTTGTGAAGTTTACTGCCGCTTTTCGTGCCACCCATAGAGTTGTATGTTCTGTCAAATGTGTGAAAGAATATGTTTCCTTCATTTCTGATTCAGTATCTTAGACCCAAAGAACAGGAAGCTGGTGGAGGGCTCTGTGGTTCCCGTGTGCCAAGGCCTGTGGCAGGTCAACTCAATCCGAGGATGAGAGTGGCAGAGATCACCCCTAGGGGGTGGTGCCTTCAAAGCTGAGTCTCACGAGTCTTGCACAAAAAGACTTGTTCACTGGGCTGGTTTTGCACCATTATTGAATTGCTAGAATTGATGTTCACAATGGCATGGCCCACACGGTTGCTGATTTGGCAGATGGCTGCACTTCTCTTTATTCTGCCTGATGAGCTGGGAGGGGCCCTGGAACGGCACCTTCCTAACTCCAGGTGTACTTCTTTGCTCCTATGTTCACCTATATATCTAAAATTTTGTACTGCTTTTAGAAAAATTATATTCTGAACACAGTAACAAAGCCCCTGTTATCTCAGCCAGAGGCAACAGATGGCATATTGGGGCTTCTTCTAAGTGTAAATGCTATCTGCCTTCAGGCCACACCATCTTCAGGGCACTCTTGTGGTATCCATCCTCTGTGTCTGTTCTAAAGAGATTCTTTCTTCATCACTGAGCTACTATTAGCAAATTGCAAGTCCTGTATGAGCTGTGGACATGGAGCTTGAGGTCTCTGAGCCTGCTAGTATCCCTTTAACCCATTGTGGGGATAAGCTGACGAACGCTAGCAGGCTTTAAGAAAAGAAGTACAGGGAGTTTGTGTGGTTAGAGCTGGCTATAATTTGTTTCTAAGCCTCAGGAGAGGAGTTTTAAATCATGTAATTAAGCACCAGAGATTTCAGTTGGAGAAAAGGACATCTGGTTAATAAATTATTTTTACATATGTGGACAGTTAATTTTCAGCAATTATAACACAATAAAAATAGTATACAGATAATGCCAAATAAAATTTATTCCCTGACCCAGAAGATCTCGCCAGATTCTTCAATGCATTGTAGTCATCATCAGTGGTGGTCCCCAAAGACTGTCTGTACAATTTGGAAATACCATAGCACGTATTGTAGGTAAAAAGAATGTCAAGAGACAGACGTTCTGGTAAATGTGAACCAGATCAGCAGCTGCCCTCTATTTTGACAAGTCATTTTTCACTGTGGCCACTGTTCTTAGACTTCATTAGACGAGGAGTTTTCCGAGAGCTTGGGAAATCACTTTGATTAGGGCTGATGGTCCTTCAGGGAAATTAGTGTTCAGAAACTAGCAAGGACGCTGAGGTGCTCATAGTTCTGTGGGGCATATGTTGGGAATGTCGTATCTCACGCATATAGAGAAAACACGTTCTGTCCATAGCGTACATGCATTGTTGCCGTACCCACTAAGAAGGGAGAGGAATAAGTGAAATCGGGATCATTCAGACCTTTCCGGATGGTGAACAGTAGCAGGGCTGTGGGGGTTGTGTTTTCCATGACCAGGCAGAGCTAGGCTAAGGCAGACTCAGAAATCCTCCTCTCCCCTCCACCCCACACGCTTCCTCCTTTTGCAGTTGGCTTCTGTCATGACTATCAGTGGATAAACCTCACTTGGCTAAAAATGCGTGTGAATATTTCATGGTGATTGACAGAACTTTGTCCAAAACACGCCAATTCAGATCCTTTTAAATCTCATTTAACATTTGATACCAAAGGTCGCACACACTCTGCAGGTGTTGTGTGTGGTGCACAGCGCATACAGGAGACCGTGAGATTATATGGGACTTAACTGAAAGCACGTCAATCATGGGTCACACTACAGTGTCGTCAGGTATTTGTTCTAATTGTTTTCGTAATATATTTTCAGTTGTTTTGTTTTTCTAATTTAATTCTCTCACTCTGTTGTCTTGACTGTGAACTGCTAACAGTGTTAAACTTGATGTAAATAAATGAAGCCCTGGAAAGGGACTGCTGTCTGCCTGTTGTCTCACAAGGTTTGCCAACTTGTGTTTTGTTTTAAATAAAGGTTGCAATATTTTATTGGCAAAGTAGGCTTAAGATTTGAGTGTGTCACCATAATGTTGTCAGGGAATTTAAGCAAAATTTCCTTCTCTGTCTATATAAAATGGATAACTAGAAGATGGTGGTGGTGATTACGTGTTGTTTTTCACTCATAGTGATCCTGTATAAGATTTCTGAGGCTATAAATCTTCACAGGAGCAGAAAGCCTCATCTTTCTCCCGTAGCACTGCTGGTAGTTTCGAACTGTCGACCGTGAGATTAACAGCCCAACTTGTAACCACTACTCTACCAGAGCTGATTATCTAGAAGGTAAAGAAGTTGATTTTAGAAGCATCCATCTAGCATGTTCTTCAGAAGGATCTCTATGGGGTATATAATCCTCTGGCCTAAAGGAGCTCAGATTGGTACAGAACTTGGGTAGTGTGTGTGTTCATCCAACGTGAGGTGACTGCAAAATGATACATCTTTTAAAATAAGTTCTGAGGACAATTCCAAATAAGTATAAAAATGTTTTGAGCCAATAGAAACATTCTTTTTTTTGGAATCCTAGTGTGGTGCTATAGGATGAACTCTGGCCCAACCGTGATTAGCAGCCCAACACATAACCCCGTATACTAGCTGGGCTCCTGTGGTTTGATCAGATAGTGTAGTGGGTTAGGTGTTGGGTTACTTACTGACAAGAAGGTTAGCCGTTTGAGCCCACCAGCTGCTTTACAGGATAAAGAGGAGGCTTTCTGCTCTCATAAAGATTTACAGCCTTGGAAAAACCCTGTACAGGGTCGCAATGAGACGGAACCAACTCACTGTCACACACCACCACTATAAACACCTCAAGTACCATGTCCTGACCCTTTCTAAAGATTTCTCATTTTATCCTCACAACTGAGCTGGGTTTTACTAAAGTGAAAACTGAGCTGAAATAGTTTTGCCCTGGTCTCACTGTGATAAGTAGCAAAACCATGATTCCACCCAGGCTGTCTGGCTGCACAAAATGTGTTCAGACCCATTATGTTCTGCTGCCTGTCATTCCCAAGGTAGGAGGTTCCCATCCTGTATTTATGAAAGAAAAAGATCAGCTGTTCTGTATGCCTGTTGAAGTGCGCATTTACAGAGTTTAGAGCAGGCTAACAGGACAAGGTAGCCTTCCCAAGAGGCTCTAGATTTTGACAGTGAGCCAGCATCCTAGACTGGCCTCCTGTTGGTCAGGTCATGTTTACTTTTGTCCCTTGAGTGGTATGAAACTAAGTTCCTATAATTCACTTATGTGACTATTTAGGACCTGATGCAGTTTGAGCTTGGGATAGTATTTGAGTCCATGAGCACAAATAAGGGTAACCTGGGGAAGAGACAAGGCTTCCCATTTCACAAGGGCTACAGGGGAGAGGACTCCGGGTGTGCCACTATAGGATCAACACTGGGCTGCAAACCACATGGTCAGCGGTTCAAACCCATCCACTGCTGCTTGAAAACTCTATACAGCCTCGCTACATGTTGAAAACAACTCGAGATGAGCCTTGGTGGCACAGTGGTTAAGCACCCAGCTGTGAACTGAAAGATCACAGTTCAAACACACCAGCTGCTCCATGGGAGAAAGATGAGGCCGTCAGCTTCTGTAAAGATCACTGCCTTGGAATTGTTGGGCGTTAGTTCTACTCAGTCCTGCCAGGTCGCTATGGGTCAGAATCAACAATGGGTGGGAAAGGTGGGACTGGAGGGCCACCTGAGATAACAAACGTCAGAGGGAAGACGTGCTCTTCCAGAAGAGGGGTGGACAGGACAATCAGAGAAATGCAAGGCACAGGGCTGGACACTTGACATATTACAGGAGTAAAACGTTTCTATATACGAGGAATATGCTGAGGAAGCCTCTCAGTAACTGGACTCAGTGGATACGGTCCCAAAGCAAAATTACCTGGCACTTGAAATATTGTGGAGCGAGCATGGTTACTATGTCTCAGTAAGAAAGTGGACCAAAGACTTTAGAAAAATACAAAATTTTAATATCTTTATATAGGAAATTGTCATGCCTATGCCCCCAAGTTAAAAAACAAACAACATGTGTAAGATACAAGCAGAATAAGCCTTAGTTAAGATTTTAAAAACATCTGTGCACTTTATCCTCAGCCTGTTCACATGCAGAAGCTGTTCAGCTTTCCTTTGGGAATAATAACTTGAAAACTACCCCACCCAGTCTGCAGACCTGACGTGCACCTTATCCCAGGCTCAGCAGGACTTCACTCTTCCTTCTCTTTAGCAGGAAGGTCCTGCAGCCTCTGAGATCCAACTCTGAGCATCTGCATGGAAGAGCTAAGATGCTAAGGAGATCCTTCACAGAATCCCAACAGCCCTTGGGTTTCTCCAACCATTTGGCCCACACTTTAGAAAGCGGGGATTGAAAGCACCAAGTGATTTTTAGGAAAGGGCTCTGCCTCTGATCAGAGTCCTTACTTTTACACACCAGTGTGTTTGTAATTGCTGGATGCCAGCCTGCCTTTTCTACACCTTCCAGTTCCACACAGTGCTAACGGGCCTGTTAATGAAGAGACGTCAGCTTAAGGGAGTCTTCATCTAGCCCTCAAGGCAGGAAGTAGTTAATTCTCTGGGAAACAGATTTGCAACCCTGAGAAGAGAAGAGCTGTTCCTCCTTGGGCACGTACACCATCATCTTGGCGATTTCTTCCAGCGCCTCTTCGGTATACAGGAGCTCCTGGCTCAGGAAAGCATCACGTGCACACAGCCTCACATGACGGTACTCCAGTGGCAGGAAGGGGATGAAGAAGTCAATCAGGTGTTCCTTCACAAGACGGCTGTGGCCAAAGCCACTGTCTGAAATCAAGTGCCAAAGTTACATACAGTCTCACCTTCCTCGGCTGAACCCACCTGAGTTTTAAGGTGCCCCAGTCCTGAGACCCAGACCAAGTTTAGATCTCATATGCCAATTCGGTAGAAAGCTGTGTGATCCTACAGCGTATATTCCCAGGGTTAGTACTAATTCTCTGAGAAGGAGTTCAGCTTCTTGGAAAAGCCAACCGTGGGATCAAAGTTAGTACCTACCCAGTGCTGCCAGGTGAGATGATCATACGGCTGTCCTCTGGTACCCTGTCTGTTTTATTCTAACCCATACCCATTACTCCAACTGTGGCTTTGAACAGAATCACAGCTTCTTTCTGCTTGACTGGGAATCAGTTACCTGTGGACTCTGCAATCTCCTCCTGGAGGTGTGGCTCCAAGTGTTCCATGGTAATGTCTTCCCGGGAGTGTCCAGACCTCAGCAAATTCAGGACCACCTCATTGATGATACTGCCTCCAAGGTTACTGGAAGACATAGAAGAGCTTGTTAACAGATTTTATTCTTTTATATTTAGCTGCCAATGGGTCAATGCATTGGTGCTTGGAAGAATGAAGATTCAGGGCCTGGGCATTCTGCAAGGGATATGAGTCTTCAAAAAGTTCATGGACAAATCCCATTATCTTTTCATTCCATTTGTCCATGAACTTTCTGAAACCCCCTCATACTGTCAAAGAGGTCTTTGTCTTTGCCAACCATCCTTCCCATCATGGCCCTTCTGACAACTGCTGTGCCAGGTGCTGAGTGCACAAAGATGGGTGCCACGTGGTTCTTCCCCTTGCCTTCAGAGGCGCAGGGGGTGCACGTGTATGTGATTCCACCGTGGCAAGTGCAAATGTCAGAACAGCTGAGGTCTGCGGAGAAGCTTCAGAGGAAGAATAAGACTTCTGATCAGATGTAGGTCTTTTAGTGCTCATCAGACCTGAGGCACAGGTGTGTCTGAGGGCCTGTGGGGGGCAGGGCTGGCAAGTTGCTTGGAGCAACTGGAGGAGCAGAGGCATGGAGGGCTGACCAAGGCTAGGGTGAGCGGATGTTAATGTAAGGGCTATGGAGAACCACTGAAGGATTTTGAGCTTGGGAATATGGGCTGTGGACTTACCTAATTATCCTTATTTCCTAAGATCATCCTAGATTAGACCAAAGAGGCCCGGGATGAATGTTGTGGTCCACATTTAAAGGTGATGAAGATAATGGAGAAGAGAGGGATTTGTGAATTACATTTGGGAGGCATAATTGATAGAACTTTAACTGATGGATGTGAGAAATGAGAGAAAGGATGTCAAAGAAAGTGTGTTGGCCTTGGACTGCCTCCCATCCCAATAACAGAAGCAGAACATAAGAGAAGGCTAGAAGTTTGGTTTTTTACACATTTTGAGTGTTTTCATTTGCCTGTGATCTCTCTAGGGGTTGTGATATCATTGTTGTTAAGTGCCACTGGGTCAGTTCCAACTCATCTTGACCCTGTACAGGGTTTCCAAGGAGCGGCTGGTGGGCTTGAACTGCCGACCTTGCAGTTAGTAGTCCAGTGCTTATCCTACAGCACCATACCATTGTTGTTAAGTGCCGTCGAGTCAGTTCTGACTCATAGCAACCCTGTATATGGTTTCTGAGGAGCAGCTGGTGGGTTTGAACTGCCGACCTTGCAGTTCACAGTCCAGTGCTGATCCTACAGTGCCACACCCAGAGTCCACTACATCTTGGGGCAACTGGAATTAGGGTCTGCAGTACAGGAAAGAGGACTGCCTCGGTTAGTGATAAGAAGGAGATAAAGGGTCTGAAGAGAAGATGAAATCTTAGAGCTGGGAATGGAGGCAGTGACCCTCCTGAGACCTCTGCATACTTCCCTCCAACCACACTGTTGTTCTTCCTGGGGTTCTGGCCTCGCCATTCTTGTACATACCTTCTACATACCCATTAAACAGTGTGCCCCTCAGAGCCAGCATTTACCTGGGGCCATGAGCCCCAGTGTGAAGAGTTGGGCCAAGGGCAAGGGCAGTCCCTCCTCTTTGCTCAAGTTCTGCTTCTCAGTCAGAAGTCCCCCGATGCCTGCACATGGGGAAGCTGCTGCCCCACTCCCCTGCTGCAGGCAAGTCACCCAGGCAGACCATCGGCACACACAGGAGTGGCCTCAACTGCATCAGCTGAAGCAAGAGCTGTCCCACTGCCAAGGGACGGGTCCATCCTGCCCCTCCCCACAAGCCTGGAGGGAGATGAGTGGGGTTCACTCACCCCACCCTATGGGCACAGATTCCAGAAAGCCACCTGGACTCTTAAGTTTCTTGAGATCAAGAACTTTATCTGATACCTAAGGAACACCAGAGCCCAGCTCTGTACTTAGCTCGGTGCTAGGGCTCAGCAACATTAATGATTGAGTCAAGTTTCAAGTCTCCTTCTTTGAGGTCTGGTGGCTAAGGGAAAGGGCTGATGAAATGAGATGCTGACCTGCGTCAATGTCCAGAGAGAGGGCTGGCCATTAAAGGTGCTCAATAAATTTTTACTAAATGAATGGATTTCTCTGCATATTTGTCTCTTTCACTCTCTCCCCACCCCCAAACTTCTCTCCTGTTTTGCCCCATAGCCAATGGGTCTTTTCTTCCATCATGTTAGAAGGTTTTCTCTCATCCACTGGGATATAACCTGAGAACCCCCACCACCACCATACCCCTCAGGCACTGCCACTCTGGTATAAACATTACCCCTTGAGACAGATGCTGTCCTCATAGGTGTCCCTTCCACATCTTCCCAGGTCACCTAACTGTGAAGTCTGAGGGGACCAAGGGACCCGGAAGCATCTTTAAAGGCCAGCGCTGTCTCTGGGCACTGAGGTATGTCAGCATCTCATTTCATCAGCCCTTTCCCTTAGCCACCAGACCTCAAAGAAGGAGACTTGAAACTTGACTCAATCATTAATGTTGCTGAGCCCTAGTTTCCTCATTCATAAGATGAGAGAATTGGACCAGACAATCTCAGATGCCCTGTAGTTAATGGTCAGTCAAACACATGAGGAGCCCTCAAAAAGTTCGTAGAAAATGGAATGAAAAGGTAATGAGATTTCTCCACAAACTTTTGGAAGCCCTCTAGTATATTCATGGAGTCCTGGTGTGGCACTGTAGGATAACCTCAAAATCGGCGGTTCAAACTTGCCAGCCATTCCTTGGAAATTCTATACAGGGTCAGAACAACCTCAACGGCACTTAACAGTAAATTTATATAGTTCTTTTAAATATTCAGAGGCCTTTTTCCAACAACAGCAGCTAAAAGTAAACAGCTATAATTATCATCTTCCATTTACAGCCTCACCAAAAAAAACAACAGTGTCCAACTAGGGCTCCATATTCCTGATCTACCACTGACCACTGTTCTCTCAGCCTTCTACGTTGCATGCTATTGAGCTGACCCTATAGGACAGAGTACAACAGCCCCATAAGGTGCCTAAGGCAGTAATCTTTAAGGGAACAACACTATCATATCGTTCTGTGGAGCAGCTGGTGAGTTCGAACTGCCAACCTTTTCAGTTAAGCACTTACTCACTGTGGCACCAGAGTTCCTACTGATTTCTATACTTTCTTGTTGTTGGTAAGTGCCATTGAGTTACTGGACTCTGATTCATAATGACCCTGTGTAGGATTTCTGAGAAGTGGTTGGTGGGTTTGAACCAGCGACTTCGGGGTTCACAAGCCAGTACTGATCCTACAGCCACACCAGAAGTCCCTATACTTGGTATAAGTGGGTTAAAGTCGTCAGTGCTGGTTTTCTGGCAACTGACAGGTGGGGTTTGGTTCCTCCAGCTCAAATGATGAATGGGCTTCTGAAGACTAGACCATGACACAGTACACTTGCTGCTTCAACTGGCCCTCCTCTCCTTCCTGCCACCAGGGGGCAGGCCAGTGGGGCCACGAATTTTCCAGGCCCTTCAATAGAGGCTGCTTTGGAACACTGAACCACCTGTGCTTTTCTTTCAGGTGAAAATCCTTACCACCTCTGAGGGGGTGGGAAAACCTATCTTATTGTAGAAATCAATTCTGAAGTGTCAAATACAGTCTTCCCTACCCTTAACTAGGAGTACTGATGTGACACTGTAGGATAATGCACTGGACTGCAAGGTCGGTGGTTCAAGCCCACCAACTGCTCAGAAACCCTACACAGGGTCACTATTGAGTCGGAACTGCCTCCACAGCACTTAACAACCCTTCATTAAGCAACTGTGGAGTCCACACCGACTCAAGGCAACCTCATGCATATCAGAATAGAACTGTGCTCCATAGTTTTAACAGCTGATTTTGGGGAAGTAGATTCCAGGCCTTTCTTCTGAAGCGCTCCACTGTTGTTGTTTGTTGTTAAGTGCTATCGCGTCTATCACTAGAATACCCTAAAACTTTCCTGCATTTAAGGCACGCCCTAGCACTGGGGTGGAGTCCGGATATGTTGCTGTAGGATAAGCACTGGACTGCTAACTGCAAGGACCACTCACCAGTTACTCCTCAGAAACCATGTACAGGGTCGCGGTGAGTCAAAACAGACTCTCAAGAGCACTTAACAACGACAACAACACTGGGGTGGAGAGTGAACAACCCTGCCGTATACATGGGTCTGGGCTGGGTGGAGAGCACAGGCTTCATGCAGACACAGGACTGCTGAGGGTGCACTACACCAGAACCGGAGGCCACATCTTTCTAAATGTCACTCTCCCAGGGATTGCCCTCCCCAGGAGCAAGCATGCCTTCTCCATCCCTCAGGGTCATCTTCCAAGTGGGGAAGCTTTCCCTGAGTGGCTCTGTCCCAATGAGTCCAGACTGCTGGGCCAGGTAGGTCAGACCACTGGGGGAAAGGGTAGCACTGGGCTGGCGGAAGACACAACCAGCGGGTCAGTGACCAAATTACTACCAAGGCAAATGTTTGTCTAGAGACAGCAGTCACCTTGGTCGAATTAGGAAATCTTGGCATAGGTGATGAAGGGTGCAGGTTTTCCAAGCTGATGCCTGGAGCGTGGTCGGTGGAAGCCAAGTGGGGGAAAGGTCACCAGCACCTTGGGGGCAAGAGTCAGTGCAGGACCAGGCCTGGGTGGGAGGGACGGATGGACCCAGCTGCAGTGGGGAGACCCCAAAGAACTTCAGTGCTTCCTGCGTTAGTGGTCTCTCAGACTTTCTTAGGCTGGGTCTGCATTGGGGTAGTGGCTTCAACAGGAATGACTCAGTAGTCTCCCAGGTGCCAAGATTCCCCACCCCCACTTTCTCATCTTACCCAGGTGGAAAAGACTTGGGAGGGCTATTGTGCCACCTTTGCATTTGGGAAAGAAGAGAAGGATGTGGCAGTCTTCTTCTGTAAAGATTTACAGCCTCCCCAGGGGGCAGTTCTAGTCGGTCTTATAGTCACTGTGGGTCTGAATCACTCCACTGTAGTGGGTGTGGTTTTCTGGGTATTTGGGGACCTCCACACTGGGACACCCTATACAGAGTCGGAACAGACTGAATCCCATGCAGTATGCTGATGAGCCACACCCAGGGCTGCCTGAGAGGGTAGCTGTTACAGAACCTCGGTGGAAAACTCGAGTTTACTGTCCTCACTTCTGGATTCTAGGCACTCAGATTATGTCAGAAAATCTCTCTCAGCTTTTCTCTTGAAATCACTCAGGAGTGATTCACCTCTTCACCATGCTGTGTAGTGTCCCATAAGCCTTACTGGCCAGGGAGGACTTGCTATCAACACACCAAAATCCCAACCCAGCAACAATTTAAACCATTCCAACTTGTCTTGTGGGTTCTGAGTGAAATAAGATCTGCCTTTAACAGTCACTTCTGTCCCAGGTTTCAGGCCTGGATGAAAGTTCCAGCCCTTCCAGCTTCCCCACCCTCACAGAGTGCTTTAGGGAATGGCCTGATGCATGTCAGGAGAGAGACTGGGGTGGAGAGGGAGACCTTGGTTTCTACTCGGAGTCTGCAAGAAGCTGCTTGTGAAGCATTTGAGTTGGACTTTTTAGTAGGGACCCAAACTTGCTTTCTATTTAACCTAGTGGGACTCTCCCAGCTAAGGCCTCCTTAAAAGATGGGGTTGGGCAGGTCGATTTCCATGTTTGTTTCTTACACAGCTATTGTTAAGAGCCGGGGGCACAAAAGAACAAAAAAGAACTGTAGTGGATAAGTGGCTAGACACTGCCTGGTCATGTGGCAAACCTAACTAGGGGTGCTCAGAGAGAAAGAGGGGACTTTTTCATTCAACAGTTATGCCCTGAATTTCAGCTCAGTGACTTCCTCTTATATTTAGGGAAGCAATGGACCTTTCTAGGCTGGAAGGAGAACTGGCCCGGCTACATTTGATTTTCAGTTAAAGTGATGACTTGAAAACTTAATGCACTTACAAGAGGGGACCCCAATGTGAAAGCTCCTCTACCCCAAGGAAGCTTCCTGTTCATTGGGGAGCTGAGGAACCCCTCATATTCCTAAGAGAACCACGCAGCCTGGGCAGAGACCTAAGGGAAGAACAGCTTTTCTTTCAGGCCAGTGTGTGCCTTGCTGGGTCACAGTCTCTTAGAAGAGCTTTGGGGGAAGAATCAGGGGCAGGAGAAGGCAGACCTTAGGCTTCCCAACCCCTGCTTCCACCCAAACAGGCTTATGTTTTCTGTACTCTGATTTGTCTTGGTTTCTCTTTAGGAAGATCACAGGAGCTCTCCAACAAAGATGCCAGGAACTTGAGCACTCAAATTATGTCAGAAAATCTCTGGACAGGGGTTCTTTACTTCTCTCATCTCCTACCCCTCCTGACTATAAAGTTTTTCAATCTCACCTGAGAAAAAGAAAGATGGATCTTGGGGTCTCAGCCCTGTGGTTCTTGAGGGCCTGGTGCTCCAGATGTGGTCCAAGGGCCTCTAGCAGCTCTGGATGTAGCTTTTCGGCCTCATCAAAGATGAACAGGGTCTGGTGGCAGCGCTGCTGTGTCTCCCGGATCTGGCTGAACAGCTCTTCCTGCACAGACAGGATAAAGGCAGCTGCTGGAGGCAGTGGGAAGCACAACCACACTCCACCCCTAGGGCCCTGGTGGGAGCTGGGCTTCCCTACTGGTTTGAACTTGTTTGGTCATGGCTAATGCATGGAATAGACTTGAATGTGTAAAATGTGGGTGTACCAAAATGCTAATCTGAAAGGAAAAAAAATTATAGGTTAAAACACTGGAATGAGAGCCTCAAAAGAGGCTTAGTGAGCCCACACCAGAGCCTGATGCAGGAGACTGGATTATCATCGGGACTGTGAAGAGCAGCACCCATTCAGTTAGTGTGCTTAGCTGCCAACTTTGAGGGGAACGGGGGCACTGCTGTTTTTGACTCTGCCTAGCAAGTTGGTGCTGTGTGTTAATGCACTGGACTTTAAGGTCAGTTTGAATCACAAGGTCGGTGGTTCAAGCTCACCAGCCACTCCTTGGAAACCCTATACAGGGTCACTATGAGCCCAAACTGACTCAACGGCACTTAACAACAAGAGATGTGGTTGCTATGCATTGCTTTCTAAGAGAGGAATTAAATTTCCATGCTGGTATACCCCTATTTTATAAGTTCAGTCTCTTCGTATTTGACTTCATTGTCAAATGACTATGAACCGGGAAGAATTGATTCAAAGGCCTGCTTTCCCCAGGACACCTGAGAGATCATCTGTGGCTAGGTACCACCCCAAAATCACCTAATACAAACCTCTAGGGGTCCTAGTGTGGTACTGCAGGGTAAGCACTGGACTGCTAACCCACAAGGTCAGCAGTTCAACCCACCAACAGCTTCTCAGAAACTCTCTACAGGGTCACTATGAGTTCTCAGGAACTGACTTAATGGCACTTAACAACAACAACCTAGGGTGGAAAATTAATGTAAAAATGTATTGTCATGCTAACAAGCTTCCCAGCTGGCTCCTATGTACCCTGAGGCTTAGAAGCCAAACTATGTGGAGCCTGGGCAGATGGAGAGTCATGGTATGGAGTAGTGAGAAGCCTGCCCGCCATTGGGGACAGACCCCAGCAAGAGCCTACACCTCTCTCCCGTCAGGATGAGGCCCGTCCCAGGGAGTGGAAGTCAGGCTGTGGTACTAGGGTGAGAGAGGGGAGGCTCAAGTGCTCAAGCAGCCACCATGCCCTGTCCTAAACTGTGAGCAGCTGCTCTGCTCACAGGCACCCATGTGTGTAGCCCACCCAACCTATAACTGGAGGGTTTCCAAAGGGGACTTTGAGTTTCCTAACCCAAACAATGTCATAAGCCCTGAAATGAAAAATAACTCCTTTGCAGAGCTCATCAGGAGAAGAAGACAAAGAATATCCTATTTGGTTGGGGTGGTGCTTACCAGAGCACACCCTCAGTGCCCATTTCTAGCATTTGTGGATGCTGACTTCACTCCCAGTCACCTGACTGTGTGTGTGTGAGAGAGAGAGAGAGACAGGGTGTGTCTCAGACAGGAAGCTAGGACCACAGTCCGTCAAGCAGTTCTGTCACAGGCAAGGTGAGATAGCTCTTCTTAGGATGAGCCCTAGGACAGCTAGGGTGCAGGACAGTCCACCCTGCTCTGGGTCCCCAAGGCCATAGTGAAACTGCAAGGTACCCTGGGTAATCTCTGTCCACACAGACTTACAAAATCTTCCCAGGTTAACACTTCAAATATTGGAAGTGAAAGCCAATTTAGGTGCAGCCACCTCTGCCACGCTGCATGGGATTTTGTTCTTCTCCTGGCCGACATTTAATACTATGTGTCTGAATTAGAAGAAACTCAAAATAGTAGAGCAACTAAAAAACCTTTTGTCATCTACTTGCTAGCATTTAGTAAGCCACTATGGAAGATGGGGAATCACTTATAATATGTAACTTTTTCTTCTGCCTTAAAACTTTCTTTAACATTCCTTTCGCAACTTTCTGTCCAATATAATTACAATGACATAAACAACATGCTGCTGTTAAGTGCTGTGGAGTTGATGCTGACCCATAGACGACCCTATACAGGGTTTAGGAGGAGCAGCTGGTGAGCTTGAACCTCCTTGCAGTTCAAAGCGACCTTGCAGTCTAGCATATTAACCCATAAGCACCAGGGAATCTTGAAGGAAGCAAACCAAAATGCCAACTGTGTCCATGTGGGGCAATTATGATAAATGCTGTCCATGTGGGGAGCTGATAAAGTTTTTGCTTTTCTTTGTTCCCTATTTCCTGCAAATCAGATCTCTTTCAGAACAGAAACATTAACACATGGATTCTTTATTTCAGCTCCGCATCTGGCCCCCTGTGTATGGCTGGTAATAAGACAGAACTTGGGACCTGGGGTGTTTGGAACTTTGGCCTTTTCCCCAGATGTTTAGGGTTTCCTCTGTGTGCAGTAGGTGCAGTGGACGTTGCCTGTCTGTCAGAGGTTCTCTTGACAGTTGCCTCCCCCTTCTGACCACATACTCACTCCCCAGGTTTCTCCAGCACCCGCCCGCCCACCTTCTTATAAGGAAGAGCTGAAGTCTCCCTCCCAGCCCAGAGACTTGCTCAGGACTCCACCTCCAGGCCCGCCCTTTCTGACAAAACCACCCACCTGGCCTCACCTTGTACAGGTCCACATATTTGGAGTGAGGAAAGTGGAACATGGTAATGAACACTCTGACACAGTCGCTCCTCAGCCCGTCCCGGTACAGGTTCTCTGCTAGCAACCGAGCCACAAAGTTCTTGCCAGTGCCGGACCAGCCGTGGAAAGACAGAGCCAGGGCTTTGTCAGGCCGGGGTGTCTCTACATAACCCCTCACTGCTCTCAGGACCAGCTCCTGGGCCAAATGCTGACCGTGCAGCAGCACGTTCAGGTCTGACTCAAGGCCTAGAGAATAAAAAGGAGGCCACAGTGAGAGGCACCCACAGGTACAATCCTCATCAGACTCAGGGACGGCCGACAGTTACAATCCTCATCAGACTCAGGGACAGCCAAGAGACAGTCTCTCATTTGGCCCTGTCCTTGTCATGCTGAAACCGACTGAACCACTGACACACCCAATACTTCCAAAGCAGTAGTGAGTGACATGGAAGGGAAATGTAATATTTGTACTGTCTTCCCTGTACTCGGCACTGGGTTAAGTGCTTGGTATTTCATCTTCACAATAATTCTGCACGTTAGGTTTTATTCTTTCCGTCTAAAGCTGAGGACACTGAGACTTGGTGAGGACTGCCTGCCCACAGTCCAACCAGAGCAATGAGGGTACCCAGGCCCTTGGGGAGCAATGGGCACATTGAGGGCACAGGTACTTTGCTAACTGTCTTCTGGGTCAGCAGAAATCCAAATAGATTTCCTGACCCAGAGTCCATATTCTGTCCTGGACCAGTCCCTGTCCCTGGACATAGGACTTTCTCAGGATATCACTGGCATCTTTGCTAAGTGACCTAATGTCTCAAGTGGGCCTCATTTATGGAGATGGAAAGACCTGGGATCTGGCAAGTTCTAGGTAAGGAAACCACTCTGGAGAAAGCAGTTTGAGGTACTGTTTTTAAATTACTGCTCCTTTATCAGAATATGTTCAGTCTTGGGTCTAAAAATCACCCTGAGAGTCAAAATGCAAAATCAGCAGTGATATGCAAGTCCAGCCATCTGAACTAACAATATACAAGAGGGACAGTCATGGTTCACATTGCAGCTGGACTTGAGAGAGAATGCACAGGCATCTGACAGTTACTATGAGCTCATTTTATAATCAGAAGCAATTGTCTCTCTCAATCCCACTGATCCCACATATGACTAGGAAACCCACATTGCACCACCCAGAGATTTGTTGGCTAAAAGTCAGAAAGGGCCACTTTAAATCACAACTCATAATTCCCCCTCAATTCTCCCAGTCAATCGTCCTAGCATCCCTCTGAGATGGACAGCATGGGTGGTGGTGTTCCCACTTGGAGACAAGTGAGGTGTTCTCATTCTGACTCTCCTACAGGGTCATGGGACATGTCGGATGATAAGTTAATAATCCTTAGAGAATGTGGCACACAGTAGGGGCTTGCTAGCTATTCGCTATTCTTTTCCCTTCAAGACTCACATAATTGCAGTCTTGACTTTGATTTTATGATGATGACCCCTGCTGTGGGGTGGTTGCATTGGATGATGAATGGTCCATTGCACACTAGCCATTTCCCATGAATTGCCCCCTTCCCACCCTTTTCCAGATCAATAGCCCCTTTGGGCACCGTGGGAACTCACCTGTGAAATTGTTAGAGATCCTGCAGTCCCCACTGTCACAGCAGGTCTGAAAGCGGCAGTACCATCTGGTCAGCACTGCCAGATACTGCTGGCCCAACAGGGAAATGTTCCAGCCTGGAAAAGCATAGGCGGTGATACAGGAACAGAAACTCGGCCAGAGAAGCTGGGCACTCCCTCCCTGCTACACAACAAGGCACAGCAGTTCCTCTTCCTACCCTCTGTCCTGTCTCCGGACCCCTCTTCACTGCTCCCCTGGGCCTTCCTGCATCATGCCAGTTTTGAGGATGTCTATGGCCTTGGTATGGGCTTCTGGTGTGGCGTTGCCGGTTAATGCAGTTAACTGCAACGTCAGCGTGGGCTGTTAAGGCCGGCAGTTCTAACTCACCAGCTGCTCCTTGGAAACCCTGTACAGGGTCGCTATGAGTCAGATCCCAACTCGATGGCACTTAACAACAACAACAACAATGGCCTTGGTATGGAGTCCTGGTGTGGAGCTGTGGGTTAATGCGCTGGACTGCAAATCGGTTTGAATTTCAAGGTCAGCGGTTCAAGCTCACCAGCTGCTCTTAGGAAACCGTATACAGGATCGCTATGGGTTGGAACCAACTCGATGGCACTTAACAACAACAACATGGCCTTGGTATAGACCCAGCTACTGCAGAGGTTCAGTTTATTCAACAAACATGCTTAATATATGAGAGGGCTTCAAAAGATTCATGGGAAAGTGGAACAAAACGATAATGGGATTTTTCTTCAAAAATGGCATTTTTCTATGAACTTTTTGAAGCCCCTGGTACTATGTGTGAGAAGTGTAAGAAACCGAGACCCTGCAGACAAGGTGTTTGTGACCTAGGAGGGAGACAGACAAGCTGGTGAGTCTTCTTCGTACTTGCTTTGGGTTCCAAAATAATCTGATTGGAGCCAACTCCAGTGGCCTCTAAATTTTTCTGTCAACTGAAATTTGAATATATTCAGTCTTGACAAAAACAAAGCAGTCACTGGAGTTTAGAAATCCCTTTAGTTACATGACAGGTGTGCCTAGCACTTGTTACAGGGTTGGATTTAGAATTAATGAGTGGATAATCTAGACTGGCAGAGCTCAGAGGTCATCTGGTCCACAGCGGTGACACCACAACCATGCCACATGACTGGTCAGTGCTAACGTCCGGCCAGGATTCCAGCCCAGATCTCTGCCCCCTGCATGTACCCACAGAGAGCAGCAGAGGCATATGGGGGGTGGGAGACAGTCACCAGACTTGTCCACACAGGGGGCTTTCCTTAAAGCCATCAAGAAGGTGGGTCAGAGCAGGCCCTTGGAATAATGCCAGGGTGGGCTGATGGCAGAACAGGGCATGTGGACAAGGTGAAGTGGGGGAGAGCAGTCAGGCCACTTCGAATTCATAAGGGATGGGGATGGGTTGATAGGGTTTCCTGGTCCCCTAGAGACTGCCCTGCCTTCAACGGAACAGTAATGCTGGCTGATAAAGCGCCTGCCTGGTGCCCCAGATTAGGAAGGGCCAGGGCAGGAGCCATCCCCTGTGACCCACATTCAACTAGCCTCTAGCCAGCATGTCCGTCTCCCGCCTTCTGAAGCCTCGTCTTACCCAGGAGCTTTTCGGCCGCCGCCCCGTGTTCCTCGCAGTCCTTGGGCCACACCTGGCAGCTGAACAGAGTCCAGTACCGCTTGGACAGGGCCCCAGCCGCCTTCAGCCGCTCCTTCAGGCCCTGGAAGCTGGGCCAAGCCGAGCCCAGCTCCTCGGTACGCTCCCTCGGGTTCACCGTCCTTTCGTGGCCCGGCGCGCCCGGAAGCAGCAGCAGAAGGAGGCAGAGCCCGAGCGAGCGCCGCGGGCCGCGCGACATAGCAAAGCCCGCACCGCGCTCCCCGGGCTGTTTCAGCTTGTTAAAGTCGGGCGGGTGGGCTGGCTTGCGAGGCCGGATTGGGCGGGGTCTGCGTTGTCCCGGGAACCTCAGGCGGGCCACTCCTGCCCGCTCGCCTCCCTGGTGACCAGGGCCAGCGCCTGAGCCCACTGGAAACTAACTCCTGCTCGGCTCGCATCCCGGAAGGCATCCCGAGGCAGCTGTCAGGCTCCACCCACCAGGAAGAAGTCTATTCTCGGGTGTGATTTGGGTTTCAAAGAAGGTCAAGTGGGGCATTGAAAAGGTCTCTGCCTCTGCTGATCACCATGCTGTAATCTGAGGCCTACCAAATAACTGAACCTGCCATTGCCCTGTCCCGGGTCTGCCAGATCAGCTTCCTGTCAGTATCAGGCAAAACCATGTCATCCAGGATCATTACTTTGGGGAGGGGACTCAGCTGCAGAGACCCTGGAAAGGAAAATGGGCGTCAGGCACACTTCTGAGGTAGCCCTGGCTCCTCTGAAAGGGGAAATGAAACGTCTCAGCAGTCAATAAAGACGCAGACTCCACCAAAAATAAGAGGAAGTAAATGGCTTCACTCTGTAAAAATTTTGCCTTTGAAAACCCTCACCAAAGCAACCCCCAAATTCGATGCCCTGGGATCCATTCTGACCTATTAAGACTGCAATCCTTAATGGAGGAACCCTGAGGGCTCAGCTGTTTGTAGTACTTGGCTGATAACCAAAATATGTACAGTCTATTCATAAAGATTTACACTATTAACAACCCTATGAGTGAGGGCAGTTCTGCTATGTCCTGCAGGGTCATGATGAGCCCAAGTTGACTACACAGCAATGGGCTTGCCTTTTAAAATTTTTCACACAAGCAGACTGCACATCTTTCTTCTGCAGAACGACTGGTAGGTTTGAGCTGCCTCAGTTCCATTAGCAGTCAAGTGCTGCTCAACCACTGCACCACCAGCCATAGGGAAACAAGGTCTTAACGTCCATGCAATCATATCTCATGAAAAGAGAAGTTGGGCTAAGTACTGTGTGCACTTTCTTTGCTACGTTTGCAACTTTTAAGTGCTTGTGGCTCAGAGCTTCTTCTCTGAGGGGGGCTTCAAAAAAATTTTGGAAAAATTCAGTTATCACTAGGCTGACCCACTACATGGATCCTCAAACAACCAAGATATGCGAGAGACAAAATGAAACATACACAGATGAAAATTCTGGCACCCTGGAAGGTTAGTGACGTGAATGAAGTACTTACTGAAACCAGAGGGACGATAAAAGAAGGAGACCAACTGGTGAACAGCTGGCCAGATGCGGCTCCACCATCTTGTGAGCAGCTGGAGGGCTGGCAGAGCAGATTCACATGGGCGACAGAAAAGGTATAATTTTTTCTTTTTCCCCATGCTCTCCTGGTGACCAGAGGTATGACCAGCTCCTTACCTTCATCCACCCCTAGCCCAGACCCTGCTTTCCAGGAGCTTGTAGCCACACGGTTGGGAGTCATGGTAGTATGAGGGCTGGCTGTGCCACTTTGGTGTGCCACATTGGTGCCTGGATTCAGGCAGGCTTGGCTCCAGACCTATAAAACCTGCAGACCCACCAGCTTCCCTGTGTTCGTAACAGACACTGAAACCAGCTCCATGAAGGACCCCCATGAACTACTTCCAGATTGAGTGCCCTGAACATAGATAACACTGATGCCAATAGGAACTCCATCTAGGGTCAGGAGATTTACTGTCATATCCCTTCCACAACCACCTCATGAGCTCCTTGAATTGCAAGAGCCCCCAGAGATTGCTCCCCTCTGGGTTCAACAATTGTACTGTTTGTTTTTAAAAATGCAACAACCCCACAATGCCCCGGAGACAACAGACAATGTTAGCTCACACTAAGAAACAAAAGGGAATGACTCAGAAAAATGACCAAGATGCAGAGCCAGAAAACACTTCTGAAAAAGAAAAGGTAATGGAAATAGCTGAAAAAGAATTCAAAAGAATGGTCATTAGGTACCTTCAAAAGATCGGTAGAAAACTTGGGGAAAACAAGGAGAACACAACAAACACTTTAGAAGAAATCTGGAAAACACTACAGGAACAAACAGACAAAATAAATGCAAATTTTGAAACAATGCAAAATCTGCAGTTAGAAATCCAGTAGATTAATACTAGTATCTCAGAAATGGACAATGCATTGAAAGAGCAGAAGAGTAGATGTAAAGCAATTGAAACCCAAATTAGTGAGCTTGAAGAGAAATCTCTCAATATTAGTATGTTAGACGAACAATCACTATAAGAATGAAAAAATCCAAAGAAAGCCTAAGATTTATGTGGGACACCATGAAGAGGAACAATTTATGGGTGACAGGAATTCCAGCACAGAGAAAATTGTCAAAAGGTTGTTGGAAGAACATGAATGATGCGAGGATATGCATACAAGAAGCTGAATGAACCCCCAAACAGGACAGATCCCAAAGAAAATCACCAAGATATATCATAATTAAACTTTCCAAAATCAAAAACGAGGAGAAAATCCTAAGAGCAGCTCAGGAAAAATGGAAAGTTACCTACAAAGGAAAACCAGTAAGACTCAGCTCTGATTTTTCAGCAGAAACCATTCAGGCAAGAAGGCAATGGCATGACATATTCAAAACTCTGAAAGAAAGAAATTGCCAACCCAAAACCATATACCCAAGCAAAGCTGTTCCTCAAATTTGTTGTTGTTGTTAAATCCCATCAAGTTGGGTTCCGACCCATAGTGACCTTGTATAGGGTTTCTGAGGAGCAGCTGGTGGGCTTGAATCGTAGGCCTCCCGGTTCAAGTGGGTTTTGCAGTCTAGCACATTAACCAACAGTGCTAACTGTTGTAACCAGGACATTTCCTCATAAACAGAAAGGAATTTGTAATAATCAGACCAACTTTACAAAAAATGATAAAGGGTGTTCTTTGGTCTAACAACAACAGACAACAACCTGAGATTACCATTCATGACACCACCACCCAGAACTCAATTCAGATATAGAAACATTTAAAGTAAAACAAACCTATAAGACTGAAAATTGGAAACCGGTGATATCAATGTATAATGAGGTCAACTACAAAGAAAGAGAGGGACTAGTGTACATACAGAACTTGCAAATGGCAAGGAAATCAAGTCGATTTCAATATAAAACTGACTGTTTAAAGTAGAGAAAAACTGCAGAGTAATGTCAAAGAAAAATAATACATCTGCACATCAAACTTTAAAAAAAGGAAAATCAGATTGATTTAGTAAACAGTAACACAACAGAAATGAACATGAAAAGAAAACCCACAAACAAAATGAACTCAGAAAATTATGTGGAGCATAGAATCCAGCAACACCACAAAAAACACACTCAGAAAAATGGCAACAATCAATTCATACCTATTGATAATTATACGGAATGTGAATGGATTAAATGTACCAGTCAAGAAACATAAAGAGTAGAATGGATAACAAAATAGTATCCTTAAATATGCTGTCTACAAGAAACAGATCAAAAAGATGGAGACAGCCTAAATGCCCATCAACAGAAAAATGGTTAAACAAACTTTGTTATATACACTCAAATGGAATATTACAAAACACTGAAGAACAATGGTGCATCTGTGAAACACCTCACCATACAGATGAACCCGGAGTACATTATGCTGAATGAAATTGGTCAGTTACGAAAGGACAAACATTGTATGAGACCAATGTTGTAATGTTTTCTTGATAAAAGAAGCTATCTATGATGATTATGGGGGACTAAGGGGAAGAAGGGAAAATTCTTTACGGGCTAGAGGGTAGACACATGTTAACATGGGTGACAGGGAAGGCAATATACAACAAGAGAGAGGTTAGCAGAGGAAAGATAAAGGTAGTGGAGACACAGGAATGTAAGCGTTAAAGTGAATAGGGGTAAATGCTGTTCATTGTTGGTATATGGAGGGCATTGTAACCATGTAATGAAGCAAACTGTATGGTTGTTGAATGTAAAACTGATGATCTGCTCTGTAAACCTTCACTGAATTCACAATAAACAGTTTAAAAAATTCAATTGTCTTTTAATTCCATGTTTTCCACACTTTTTTTTTTTTTAAGGTTTTTATTATGGATTGAGTGAAGGTTTTCAGGGCACATCATCGGTTTCACATTCAAACATTCATATACCTTGTTTCATTACATTGATTATAATCCCCTCCACATACCATCAGTTAACAGAGTTTCTCTCTATCCTCTTTAGCTTATTTTTTTGGGGAAAAACTTTGCCTTTTTGGAATTTACAGTCTCGGCTTTTAGGGAAGGTTTTTACATT